AAAAAAGTGAGTTGAAGAGTGATCAAATCAACTCAAAACGTTTGAGGTCAGTATGATTTATTTGTTTTTGTTTTAGAAAAAAAGTCTCTTAAGCTCACCAAGGCTGCAATTATTTGATTAAATATACTGAAAAGCAGAAGAGCTCCTGATTTTCACTGCACTTCCTGTATGTGTGTGTTTTACGAACAAAGCATTCCACAGTCTGCTTGAACCATGAGACCCTTCTGGGTGACACACAAACTAATGTAAATAACATGGTCTGGTCTCGTTGTGGCTGGATGTGAGGTCGGCCAAGTCACCAAGGCAGGGATTAGCTCACTGTGATTTATGTAACCAATGTCTGTGTCACCAGTGTCAGCACTTGTCATCTGATTCAAAAGACAATTAACCACATTAATCACAATAAACCACAACTCAGATCAAACTGTTAAGGAACAAAGCAATCTGCACCCATTGATATTAACAAATGGTCTACCGTTTTGTAAAAAAGTGAGTTGAAGAGTGATCAAATCAACTCAAAACGTTTGAGGTCAGTATGATTTATTTGTTTTTGTTTTAGAAAAAAAGTCTCTTAAGCTCACCAAGGCTGCAATTATTTGATTAAATATACAACAAAACAGTAATATTGCGATATATTACAATTTAAAAGAACTGCTTCCTGAGTTAGTATATTTTAAAATGTCATTTATTCCTGTAATCACAAAGATGCATTTTCAGCAGCCATTACTTCAGTCTTCAGTGTCATGTGATCCTTCAGAAATCATTTCTTATTATAATCAATGTTGAAAACATTTGTGCTGCTAACTATGTAGAAACTGTGATACATTTCATGATTCTTTGAAGAATAGAAAGAAAGAGCATTGAAACAATCTAAAGGCCCATTCGCACCAAAAAAGATAACTATAAAGATAACAATATTAGCGTCCACACCAGCGAGCGCATGCTGGTCTGCCGCTTTAAATTCTCCAGCTCGTTAGTGCAGGATTGATTCTGATTGGGTGTCAATGTTTGTATCGTTCGCCAGCTGGAAAAAAATCGTTCTGAAAGTGATTCCAACTATATCGTTTCTCTGTGCCTTTTATCGTTATAGTTGTGGTGTGGACGCTGTTATTCTTTAATATTGAGAACGATTTTTTAAAAAGTGAGTGAAGTGAAATGTGGCCAAGTATGGTGACCCATACTTGGAATTAGTGCTCTGCGTTTAACCCATCCAAAGTGCACACACACAGCAGTGAACACACACACACCGTGAACACACACCCGGAGCAGTGGGCAGCCATTTTTTGCTGCGGCGCCCGGGGAGCAGTTGGGGGTTCAGTGCCTTGTTCAAGGGCACCTCAGTCGTGGTATTGAAGGTGGGAGAGAGCGCTGTACATTCACTCCCCCCACCTACAATCCCTGCCGGTACGAGACTCGAACCCGCAACCTTTGGGTTACAAGTCCGACTCTCTAACCATTAGGCCACGACTTCCCCTTAGAACTATATCTTTAGAGTTATCATTCTTGGTGTGAACGGGGCTTAAGTCTTCTTTTTAAGTCTTGTCATTTTTGAACAATTTAGTGCATTCTTGTTGAATAAAAGTATTAATTTATTAAAAAACTAATCTTACTGATCTCAAACTTTCGAACGGTTTACAGTAGCAAAAATGAAACAGAGGTTCTCTGGTTCCATTTCAGTAAAAAAAATTGCTAAATTTCAAATCACTGCAGTTCAACTGACAACAGCTGACTTGGTGGTGCTTTGATATATGAACCATTGTAGTGTATGATAAACATGGTCATATACCATGATATTTGCATTGGACAATTACCACGGCATCAATTACCAGGGCATTGTGTCCAAAAAAACATTGTAGCATTTCTTAATAACAATTCAGCCAACACAGAATCTGCAACCATAGAATTCAGGAGAAAATGACACAGATTTCTGCCAAAATGCACACTTGCTTCAATATTTTCATTACTTATTATTAAATTTGGCGTGTTTATTATATGCAGGTACTTTCAGCTTTGTTCAATGTGTTGTATCACGCTCAAATCCATTTCACACACAAAATCAGAATATATATGTGTTATTAACTAAAACTATTAAAACAGTTATTTGTTAATTGAAACTGCAATAAAATAAAATATCTAATGAAAGGCTTAATCTAAAAAAAATATATAACTTTTGAAATACTGCCATGGCTAATAACTCAAATAAAATGTTATGTTTAAGTACTTTGATTTCTAAAACTGAAATACCACGACATTCTAATTTATTGAGATGCACCTGTACATAAAAAGTATATAAATAATATCAAAATAACGCTGTTGCAGAAAAGTGTCTGCAGATTCTGTCTGGGCCTAGTGACGGCTAATATGATGAGACATACCACTGGCTTATGTGGGTCTGGAGGCGAGCGAGGCACAGAAGAAGCTGACTTACTGTCTTTTTGAGCCGCAGGACTGGTTGATGGGCCAGCAGTTGTTCGTCCCACTGGACTGGAGTGTTTAGGACCCCTGCCAGGGATCTTCAAGCCACTGGACTTTAGCATGTTCATTATGTCCACTGGAGAAACTTAAAGTTTCGCAGCTTATTAAGGGTTTTTGTCGAGGCACTAAATGTGAGGATGGCGGATATCCCTCTCCATTCTACCTGTGGGACTGAAGACAACCATCATGAGCGTTTGAAACACTAAATCCCATTGACTGGATGCAATTTGCTATATGAATGGCCCATGCCAGTTCATAAACAGGACACTGGCTGAGCCACAGCAACAATAATGTGATGCTTCAGGGCAAAGAAAGACACAAAAACCACATTTTATCGTTTGGATGAGAAACAATGTAATCGACAACGACAGACTGAGAATGCGTTATTTTGCCAATGAGTGATAATCAGTAATAAAGCAAGGTCATTTTAGCATATCTGTAAAAAGAAACCCATTATCCACTGAGGTCGGCAGTTTCGATATGCTGTCATTACAGCTACCTTCCAAACCCTAAATTTGCTCTGTTAAAAACTCACTCCACGAATTTCACTTAAAAAGAAAGATGACTGCAGCGTAAAGCGTATAATATATCCTAAAAGAGGGGGAAGTTTAGTGTGCTGTCTCATTTCTGCGCCGTAGACTCTGCTGCTCTATTGTTTTGGCTCTTCACTGCGGCGTGCTCGCGACCGTCTTCACACGCCCCTGTCAAGCGACATAAAGCCGATCCGCTCTCACAAACAGCACGATTACCTTATGAAGTCCAAATCCCGTGAATTATAAAGAAGTCGGCTCCGGCGAACTTCAGACGGTCTGTGTAGGGATGGCTCAGTCGGCTTCCCGGCATGAGATTTGTCAGCGTCTGCCACTCCCTTTGCTCTCTCGCTCTCTCTCTCTCTCCCACACGGATGCGAAAAATATGGATGCTGAGCTAAAGCTGGCAGTGAGAGTGGGACAGGATGCGAGGCTCACAGACACCGGCACATTTTAGGAAAGCTCTTTTACAAACAGATGCCTAGAAATGTCCCGAAAGTGTGTCAGTGGTGAGCAAATGGTTGCTGAATAGATGAGGGGTAAAAGCCTTCAGGCAGGGGGGCCGCTTTAGCAAAGAAAGACACAAAAACCACATTTTATCGTTTGGATGGGGCTGAAACAATGTAATCGACACCGACAGACTGAGAATGCGTTATTTTGCCAATGAGTGATAAATCAGTAATAAAGCAAGGTCATTTTAGCATATCTGTAAAAAGAAACCCATTATCCACTGAGGTGCCGGGGGACGACAGGGACCATGAAGAATAATCAGTAGCTACTGAATCGCTTAACCGGTTATTTGAACATAGGCTAATGTTCGAAAGAACCGATTCGCACGAAACGAGTCGGACTTCCTATTACTACAGTTTTGGATACTCCGTTATCCCTACGTTAAGGACTGCAATACGATTGTATCGGGTTTTGCTTTAAAAACAGGCCAGGCTTGTTTTAGCCATATAATTTTTACACCAGTTACTCTCTACCACCGAATAATGACTTTTTGACACAAAGAAAGAAAGAAAAAGTGGTCCAAATGTCTTAAATAATATAATCAATTCATAATCTATATTGCCCACATACTGTCACCTGACTTGGTCATATTCAGTGAATATGTATAATAAATAAAGACATCCAAAAAACTTTCTTCCACAGAAAACAAATGAAATATTTTTGCAGAATGGCTTGCAACATGGCTTCATATGACTTTAGGCATTGTCTAAGTGTAGCATGGAGATTCTGGAAAATAACTTGTTTTCTATGGAAGAAAGAAAATCATACAGGTTTAAACATTAGGGGGAGTAAACGATGACAGACTTGTTTTTGTCCCCTCAAGACAAATTAAATATTGTGAATGTATGCAAGTTAAACTACACAGTCGAGGGTTAAAACGAACTTTTCAAACCTCAAAAAAGTCTGAAATAATCCTCTTATAATTTTGCAGTTACGTTAATGCAGGCTGTTCTTAAGAGATTTGTGTAGTGCACATAATATTTACTAAAAGGTAGTAAATTACAGCCATAATTAAATATGGCTGCAGAGGAATTTAAAACACCATTCAGAGACGTTCTTGATATCTTCTGGAATTAGCTTTAAAGAGTTTTTGTGTGTGTGTGTGTGTGTTCATAAGCACTTCTGTACTGCAAATGAGGCCTGAATTCAGATTATCAATAAGGAACACTGTAATGCCACCTAGTGGAGAAATACTAAACATCACCACCTTTCAGGAAAAAAAGTAATGTTCCACATTTAAAAATGACAGGAATACACTGTTTGTTTACAGTTCATATCATAAAAAGACATAACAACAAAACATGACACATACAGACAAGGCATTGAGACAGCAGGAATGGCAGCTTTACATGGTATTCAAATCCAAGAATAAACAAATTCTCCTCTTGCCATCAACCTACAGAATTAAAAAATAAAAACAAACATCTTTAAAATCTATATAAACATTCTAATAAAACTGATTTAATGAAAAATTACATGCATATCCACGGTGCTTTGTAAAGTCAAAAGCACGTTAAAGAAGGAACAATGCTGATTAGTTGAAATTAATGTTGAAAAAGTTCAAGTTAAAACAATTTTGTTTGAGTGCATGTAAAAGCTGCAGAAATGCCGACAAGACACAGTTTTTGAGTTAGCAACCCACTTGAATCATTGCAGTAAGGTAACACTGTCCTTAATACCAAATATTTCGCAAATACACCACCATTTAACTATCCTTTAATAAAGGGATTGTGATCGCAGCCCTCTAAATATCCATCTATCCATCAAGAATCGGTTCAAAAGTTCAAGAATACAAGAACAAATCCAACTTACTGTACAGTATTTCTTTTCTCATCTATGTGTCAAATAATAGCAGGTTTGAAGCCTGCGTATGAGTAACACTGTGAATTACAGTATGAAATGCAACCAGTTAAAAAGTCCCTTTGTTTACGTTTGTAATTCCAAGAAAACATTTTTATTCTTTGATCTTTCCTCCTCCTCCACCGCGGCATGTGCATCATGTAGGTCTTGGAGAATAGTGAAGAGCTTTGATAGTCCATCTACTTTCTTCTTGTCTGTAAGATCAAAACAGTCCTTTATTTATGAGAAGCTGCCAGAGAACAAAGGGCACATGTGAGTGGTGTTTTAACATGGACACTAATCATTAAATAAAAATGAAGAAAGAAAGCAGTGTTGTTTTAGCATTATTTATAGATTATTATAATATTTATTGATATTTACAATTAGCTTTTATTTTTATATTTTCGGGTTTCATTTTTTTAATTTTAGTACTTTTTTATTCGTTTTTTTTTTTTAATATATATATTTCTATTTAGCTTGAATATTATTTATTTTGGTTTTAGTAATTTTAATACTTAAAGGTGACATATCATGAAAATCGGACTTTTTCCATGTTTAAGTGCTATATTTTTCCATGTTTAAGTGCTATAGTCGGGTCTCCGGGGTATCTACCAAGTAGGAAACATGAAAAAGATTAACCTAGTAAATTATTAGAACGGAGTGTCTATTTACACATATCACATCGGAAAGGCATTTATTTTCAATAAAAATGAAGGAAATAATCAACAAGTTGAAAATAAAGTATCGGGTAGGGTTAGGGTAGGTGTAGGGAGGGCTTTATTGTCCCAATAAGGTGGCATCCATGTAATAATTTGAATTAAAATGATAATTTACACTCAATATGTCATTATTGCATACTGTTTTAGAATGTACTACAATACTGAGGTGCAGATAATTGCCACAATTTGCAATAAGTAGTACACAATAAACAGCAGAAAATCCTGCTATTCCTAAATAGAATCTATAGCTATTTGCACTTAGTGAACTTAGTTTAGTACTCACATGCCGTGTGACAGCCGCTTTCTGTGCGTGTAGTTCCACTCAAAATAGGCATTTTCAAAATGATATAATAAACGATCTGTGGGGTATTTTGAGCTTTTGAGCTGAAACTTCACAGACACATTCTGGGTACACCTGTCTTATATTCTCTTATATATTGCATCTTGTAAAAAGGGGCATAATAGGCTAATAGGCCTCCTTTAAACTTATTTCAATTGTCAAAGGCAACATTTCTAATTTTCCATTTAAATTTTCTATCCAATCATTTTTATTTCAGCTTTATTTCAAATACCTAAAATGTTTTGAATAGTTTTAGTTAACGATAACAATACAGAAAGAAAGCAGGCTTGAAAACTTACCTCTTACTGAATCTGCTTCCTTAACTCCTTGCTGCTCTCTCAACTTATAATACTTATCTCTGCAAAGAAGTACAAGACATCGTTTTTAGAGACAAGAATAGAAGGAATTGAATTGTAATTAAATTTTGTGTTTGATGTCAATCCTTTCAGCTGACATAAATGTATACACAGGCCTAGTATGTTAAAGGCAGAGTAAGTGATTTTTCAAAAACACTTTATAAAACTGATTCGGGCCGAATCGCAAAACAAACTTGTAGCCAATCAGTACATTACCGCATGGCATGCTGGACACTACGCAGATGTTGGTAGATGAGCTGAGCCTCCAGATCTGGGTCCAATGGGTCATACCACTCCTGCAGGGTCACTCCATGCCTGGTTTTATCACAGCCTGGGTCTATGAACAAAGATCTTATCAGTACAGTCTAGTCAGGATTTTTCTTTTAATGAAATATACTTTTATTCAACAAGGACACAATAAACTGATGAAAAGTAATGGTAAAGACATCTGTGACCTTGGACCACAAAAGCAGTCATAAGGGTCAATTTATCGAAATTGAGATTTATACATCATCTGAAAGCTGAATAAATAGGCTTTCCACTGATGTATGGTTTGTTAGGACAATAGGAAAATATTTGGCTGAGATACAACTTTTTGAAAATCTGGAATCTGAGGGCGCAAAACAATCAAAATACTGAGGAAAATTGCCTTTAAAGTTGTCTTAGCGATGCATATTACTAATCAAAAATGAAGTTTTAATATAATTTGACAAAAATATCAGAAATTTACAAAATATCTGCATGGAACATGATCTTTACTTAATATCCTAATGATTTTTGGCATAAAAGAAAAATCAATCATTTTGACCCATACAATGTATTTTTGGCTATTGCTACCAATATACCCGTGCTACTTATGACTTGTTTTGTGGTCCAGGGACACATTTATAATTTTTTATGATATAATATTTCCATTACAAATAAATATTGTTCTTTTAAACATTCTAATCACCAGAGAATCATAAAATAAAATCTATGACAGTTTCCACAAAAATATTAAGCAGCACAATTGTTTTCAACATTGGTAATAGTAAGAAATGTTTCTTGAGCAGCATATTAGAATGATTCCTGAAGGATCATGTGACACTGAAGACACTGAGAGGTGCTAATAATTCAGCTTCACCATCACAGGAATACATTGCATATTACAAATTCAAAATATATTAAAAATCTTACCAATCCCCCAAAATGTTTGGTTATCAATATCTGCAGTACCTGACTTCTCCTTCTGATGGCAGCAGCTCCATCTGTCTGCTTTATAGATGCCAGGATGATAGCAGCTCATAGTGTTTGTGTTGTGACTGCAGGCTTTCCTCAGAGCTGACAGCCAGTGATTCAACTCATTTACACTCTACAGCCACACAGAGAGACAAAGAGTATGAAACAATGAGATATCAAATAACCCTTTTGAGGGTTTTCAGGGCTCATTCTTATAAGCTCAACAACAACAAACAAAAATCTCAGTCAGTGTCTATGAATAGCCACATCCTCGATTTATTTGTGAATTCAGTGCAACACTAACTTTGCAGTCGAGGTACAGGGTCTCCTGCAGGCCAGAATCTTCACTTGAGATGATCTGCATGACGTTAGCACTGCCGAAGCACTTCTCCTCCACCTTCTCTACCGCCCGGATCTTTGGCAGCGAAATAAACGAGCTCTTCTGCAGATTCAGAGACCACAGTCTACTTAATTTATCTTACATACTGTATGGGTGTTTCTATAGACACTTTTGGCTGCTTTTAGAAAATAAACTCGTATTTCATCTCAAGTATGCATTTACACTGTAACCAGGCACTGTAACCATCTTCTGAAAAACAGTTGATCGTGATGGAAATAATGCAAAATATTTGAGGGAATTCATATGGAATATTTTGACATAACATTGAATGATCTTTACTTAATATCCTAATGATTTTTGGCATAAAAGAAAAATCAATCATTTTGACCCATACAATGTATTGTTGGCTATTGCTACCAATATACCCGTGCTACTTATGACTTGTTTTGTGGTCCAGGAACACATTTATAATTTTTTATGATATAATATTTCCATTACAAATAAATATTGTTCTTTTAAACGTTCTAATCACCAGAGAATCATAAAATAAAATCTATGACAGTTTCCACAAAAATATTAAGCAGCACAATTGTTTTCAACATTGGTAATAGTAAGAAATGTTTCTTGAGCAGCATATTAGAATGATTCCTGAAGGATCATGTGACACTGAAGACACTGAGAGGTGCTAATAATTCAGCTTCACCATCACAGGAATACATTGCATATTACAAATTCAAAATATATTAAAATGGGGGAAACAATTAATTAATAATACTTCACAATATTACCTTTTTTACTTTATGTTTCATCCAATAAAAGTATTTTTGGTGAGCAAAACAATCTTACCAATCCCCCAAAATGTTTGGTTATCAATATCTGCAGTACCTGACTTCTCCTTCTGATGGCAGCAGCTCCATCTGTCTGCTTTATAGATGCCAGGATGATAGCAGCTCATAGTGTTTGTGTTGTGACTGCAGGCTTTCCTCAGAGCTGACAGCCAGTGATTCAACTCATTTACACTCTATAGCCACACAGAGAGACAAAGAGTATGAAACAATGAGATATCAAATAACCCTTTTGAGGGTTTTCAGGGCTCATTCTTATAAGCTCAACAACAACAAACAAAAATCTCAGTCAGTGTCTATGAATAGCCACATCCTCGATTTATTTGTGAATTCAGTGCAACACTAACTTTGCAGTCGAGGTACAGGGTCTCCTGCAGGCCAGAATCTTCACTTGAGATGATCTGCATGACGTTAGCACTGCCGAAGCACTTCTCCTCCACCTTCTCTACCGCCCGGATCTTTGGCAGCGAAATAGACGAGCTCTTCTGCAGATTCACAGACCGGAGTCTGCTTAATTTATCTTAGATACTGTATACTGTATATGGGTGTTTCTATAGACACTTTTGGTCCCCTTTAGGAAAAAAAAAACTCTTCATCTCAAGTATGCTCCTACACTGTAACCAGGCACACTAACATTCGAAAAACTGTTGGTAGTGATGTAAATAATGCAGATTATTTGAGGGACATTATTAATTTGTACTAAATTCATATGAACTATTTTGAAATAATATTGAAATAGTTTATTTCATCATTATTATTGTTAACAAACTATTGAAAACATTTTAGTTAATTGAAATAAAGCTGAAGTAAACTAAAATATAAATAGTAGATGAAAAATGGAATTAATTTTTCATCTAATATTTATATTTTGTTAAATTTAGATTTATATTTTATTTATACTTAGAAATATTGCCTATGGAGCTCACTGAAATAAGTTTAAGGGGAAGCAAATAAATAAACCGGAAATAAATCAAAACTGAAACAAAAATAAATTAAATATAAATAGTCATATTTACAAAATAATAATAAAACAAATGACAAAAGCACATAACACAATTACTAAAAAATGAAACTAAAATTAAAATAAAAAATGTGAAAATATAAAATAAATGCTAATTCAAAATATCAATAAAACTATAACAGCATAAATATAGTAAAATATTAGTAGTGTAGAATGTCATAGTTTTAAAAATTGTAATGATGAAATAATATTTAATTGTTATTATGGATTTTATTATTTTATGATCAGACCTATACATAAAGGTTATTTGTAAGTAAAATAAAAAAACACATCCATTACGAGTCAGGAGTAATGTTGATCTCATAATAATAATAATAATGAATATTTTGCTGCTCACTTTAGAGTGCTGCGTCCGCGAGTACGACAGAGTGTCTTTATTGAGTGTGACATAGTACTTCTTAAAGGGTGATGTCATGGGCATGCACTTGTCCTTGGTCCTGTGAAGGAAGAGGAAGCCTTCTTTCTCCATAGAGCCACACTGGAGACTCATTCGTGTCTGAAGCTCAAGATCTGTTTTAAAAATAAAGCAAACAAGAGAGAGAGCAAGAGCAAGAGAAGTGAATAAAATTAGGGTCATGACTATCAGCTCCATCTCTTAAGGGTCTGTTCAGTTTTGGATGAACTACACAATTAAACTTGCAGCTCCAACAAGAAAATAAAATGGAGCTTAATTAGCTAAAGATTGATCAGATATGACACAGTCTCCAGCCAAGCACCGGGATCCACTCAATTTTTCATCTGATGACTAATTTAGCGCAGCTCACCCTCTGACTCATGGCAGTTGACCAGTTTAGTGATGAAATCTTTGAGTTGGGTGATGCCTTGCTGTATGGCTGGCTGCAAACAGACCATCCATGGCTCTTTAGAGCAGCATGCAAGAGTGTCCATATTCCCAATGGTCTGCACGGCCTGAGGAAACACACGAGGCAGTCACAATGACGTAAGATGGAATATGTTAACCGTAATGAGCTCTATGAATGTTCTGAGGTCATAATCCGTGACTATACTGTGACCTAAATAGTGGATGTTATTGCAGAAGTGAGTGCAACATGTATCCTCCACTAACTGAAAGGATCTGAGCTTGATTTGTGTTATATTAAAGTGACATAAAAGCTGGACAACGTGACTATGTAGATATGTTACTGTAGATATGTAGTAAAAGAATCATACTTTGGCAAGTAGCAGAAGTGTGCGGCTGGTACGGGCATCAGCATGTTTCTCTCGAAGGTGAAATAGTTTTGGGGACATAATGGCAGGTGAGATGAACCGCAGGCCCAGGAAGCGGGTCACAGAAATGAACTTCACCTTC